AAAGAATACTCACAAATCAATAACAGGCGAGCACTGCAATGAAAGATGACAATCACAAAAGGAGAAACAGGAAGACCAAAACATAAAAACATATACAGATAGACTTTCAACCTCAAGAATAATTAAAAAAAATAAAACGGACAGAGATACGCTGTTTCTTATCAATTTTGTAACGCACATCAAGCATTTTTAAATGTACGTTCTCTTGTAGCCATTTTTAGGAACTTCTTCCCAAGGAAAGAATTAAGTATGGGTGTATGATTTAACTAAGACAATGCTTACTGCAATGCAGTTTATAATTTATGAGTGAAAAACTAAGGAAAAAAAGCCAAAAATGGTTAAAATATGCAATGCAGTAGTATGTAGTTACAATTCTTTTGGTAACTGCATATTTGATAATAGGGAAAAGGCTAAAGCAAAGAGTGCTTAACACTGTACCACAAATCATTATGTACAAAATGGTCCCATTTTAATAAAAAAATCGCATAGATAAGCATACAGAATTGTAATCATGAAGGCGTAGGGAGACAGATGCCAAAATGTTTGCAGGGGTTATCCTGGGTTGTAAGGGTCACAGGAGATATTATTTTCTTCTTTTTGTCTTATATGCTTGGCATAAACTTTTGTTAGTGAAAATGCATTCATTTTTTTATAAGAAAAAAGTCATATGTAAGGAAAGAAAAAAATCCAATATGATCAACAGTATTTGACAAACCTGCCATGTTTCTACATCCCTTTCCCATAATTCTGATTTTTGTTTGCCCCTGAGATCTGTAAGCTGTCTCAGGAAGTATTTAGCTCGAGGCTAAAGAAGGGCAGAGGATTTTTCCGTGAAATTTGGGAGGACTGGAGGGGACTTTTGCTGCCTGGATTATGCCCCCCATCCTACCCAGAGGTCTGCTCAGAAGGTCCTCATGGGGATGCTGGGAACTAGAGATGCTAAGAACCATGGATTCTAACCTGGCTGAGGTCCAAGCCCTGGCTCATGTTTCTTGTCATCCACAGTGGTGAGTTTTGAAAGTGAAGGGAGGTGTTACTGATAATCACATTGAGAGAATCAATGTCTCAGGGCGCCTGGGTGGCTCAGTCAGTTAAACATCTGCCTTTGGCTCAGGTCATGATCCCAGGGTCCTGGAATCGAGTCCCATGTCCGGCTCCCTGCTCAGCAGGGAGTCTGCTTCTCCCTCTGCCTCTTCCCCTCCTCCCCTGCTTGGGCTCTCTCTCTCAAATAAATAAATCTTAAAAAAAAAAAAGAAAAGAAACATCTTGGGCAAACCAGGACATATGGTCACCATGGTCATAGGGAATTCTGGGGCTCATGGCATCGATTGCTGAAAGATGCCAGGGGCTGTCCAATTCTCTTCACAGATGAGGAAACAGGACCACAGAGAGAAGCAAACACATGCTGCCCAACCTTGGTGACGACGAGTCATGAGCATGCTGCTCTGAAGCTTAACTCAAAAGATTCCTCTGTGTAGGTATGTGTGTGACAAAGTGTAAGTGTATAAGTGTACAAGAGTGTGAGTGTATGTGTGAGTGTGTAAGTGTGTGTGTGTACCACCATGAAATGACATGGTAGGACACAAGCAGAACTTCACACTCTTCTCTCTTGAAGCTCCACTGCTAAGAGTCAGATCAATACTGACTCATGTCTTTTGGCTCTTGGAGTTCTAAAAAATATCCCAAGACCAGCTTACAGGAGTCAAGACAGTCTCCTCTAAACTGCTCCTTAACCCAAGTCTTCATTCATTCAACAAGTATTTTTGTGCAATACCACGAGGTATATAAAGGTCCTGTTTCACAGAACACTGTTGGTAGAGGTGCCCATTTTTATAAGCAAATGTGATCAGGAAATGTCTGATTTTACGTTCTCTAACTCACTACATGGGTGGAGAAGGGAAGGCGTTCCCTTGTTCACGCATCTTATTGTTCAAACAAAATGAAGCCTTTTCTTCCCCACAAAAGTTCCAATGGTAAAAATCAGTGTTTCCATTTCCTGTTTTCCTTTTGGAAAAGATACTTTTAGGGATGCAAACTTGCTCCTAAGAAGCAGGGTAGGGCAGTGGGGAGAAAGAGGTCTTTGGAGTCACAAATGCTATATATATATATATTACAACAATCCTAAGATGCACAATTTTCCCCCCACTTTTAAACATCTCTGAAACCAGGATGCATCTTACTCTCCATGGAGTGGTAAAGCCTTGAGTTCTTTCAGAGAGGTTTGTGATTGCTCCTGCTGGTCAGCAGGGGGCAATATCAACCCGGGACCACTTCACATCCAATTCCCTGACTGAGGTTTTTTAAAGACCACATTGAGTGTGTGAAATCAGGTGGCAAGGCTATATGGATTCCATTTTGGAGTTTAACCTCTTGGAGAGCTCCTTTTTTTCCAGACCAGTCCCAGGGAATGGGCATGTGGGTGGGATTATCTGCTGGGTGGGATTTTTTTCTGTCCATCCTTACCTCAAGGGGTAAGCCCAGCTTATCGGGAGGAGTTCCTTCCAGACTCCCCATACTGGGTTTTTCTTTCTTAGTGCTGCATAGAAAATGGGGCATCTCACGGATGATGGTACCTGAGAGTCAACAGAATATGGCAGCCAAATTTTGAGAACTAGGACCTCTACTTAACCTCTAGACGGCTCAGTTTTCTTTTTTGTAAGCAGGATAGTAATGTTTCTCTGAGGATGCAATAAGCTGATACACATAAACACCAGGCACACAGTAGATGCACACTGATAATATTGTCCAGTTCTGGAAACTTATGGACTTGAAGGTGCTGTGTTAAGTCAGCTAAGGCTCCAGGACTCTTTCCTACTTATTCGCTCTCCAGAACCTTCTGCCTCCTGCCTCCCACCCCATCCAAAGTTCAAAGACGAGAGAATGCAGATAGCACAGGATTGTTGTCTTTATATGAAGGCCTGGGAGAGAACAAGCTCCAGGACTCTTGGGAGAGGCAGTGTGGTGAACAGACCAGGCAGCGGCTGGGGGCTCACAGAGGGCTCAGATTGAAGCCCCTCTACTGACAGGTGGAGTTTGGGGTGGGCCACCTAATCATTTCTCTGTGTCTCCATTTCATCAAGTATAAGATGAGGCTCAGAAGAGCACTTACTTCACACTGTCATTGTTAGTGAATTTGTGGTAACAGCTTAGAATAGTGCCTGGTATTTGGTAAACACCCAATGGCTATTACTTATGATACATCCTCAGCTCGACAATAATGCAGCCCCTAGAGAGAATCTCAGAGCAAAAGTCAATGCGAGGGTCTCTGTGACAGGAAAGGGGGGAGTGAACAAACGTTCTGATGTGCCCCACTGTCCTCACCATGGGGAACCCATGCAAGGCAGAGCCCACGCTGGATAGTGCAAGGCTGGACAGTCAGTGGGCAAATCCCCACATGTCAGTTCAGGATGCTACCCTTTGCTTCTCCTAGAAGAACCGCTCCTGGACCTAGAAATCAACCTCAGACACACTCTACCTCCTCCCCGCCCCTCCGCCCCCTGCAAGCCCACTCCTGCTCCAACACCAGGTCCCGCAGATGAGATGCAGACGCCATTGAATAAAACACATTAAAAATTATCTAGTCTGCAGGGGTCAGGTCATTAGCAAAGCAACTACATCTTTAGCAAGAATGAACAAAAGGGTTTTGTATAGCTCTGAACGCAGGTATTTATCCAGGCTAATTGAGAAGATTCTTTGCTAGACCACCCTGTTCTTCCTAACTCCTTCAATGTGGCAACCACAAAAGAAAACGCTTTTAATTTGGACCTTAAGCCCCTTAAATATATTACAAGTAAGAAAAGCCTACTTGCTCTTTGGAGGAGGGGAGGGTGCTGAGTGAGACAAAATGTTTCTTCTCTTTTTGTTAGCACACAGACACAATCCATTTCAAATTGTGAACTAGAGGTGAAGATATTAATTTTGGAGTTTGCAACCTTTAGTTAGTTAATCACAGAAACTCACTGGGAATGGTGTATGTGCACAAAAGTGTGAATTCTCCAAATCGAGGAAAGCGGAATGTCCCAGGCAGCTGAACAAAGTAACAAAAAATTGCTCACTGGAGCTTTGCAGAGTATTGGATCAAACTCCTGAAATTTGCTTGCGAATTCCCTGCTGTTTTTGCCTGAGGCTCCTGCAGGGGCCAAGCATCTCCTGTGCTCAGTCCAGGGAGGTCTGTCCACTTCCCTCAGTGCAGAGGAGCAGCCCAGCTAGGCAGGGACAGCGCCTACCTCCCCACAACCCTTTACAGTTTAGAGCTAGGGAGGGAGAGAGGCATGGGAAAACGTCATTATCAGTATCAGTATCAGGATGGCTTCCATTTTTGAACACTTAACCTAATCAAGGCATTGCCTGGAGCTTCTCATAATAGCCTAAGTGGGAGGCACATCCAAGATCCTCATGGTGCATTGAGGAACTCGTTCTCAGAGAGGCTACCTCACTTACTGAAGGTCACATGGCAAGGAAGTGGCAGAGGTGGAATTCCAACCGAATGCTGAACCCACCACCCATCTCCTTTCCACTATGCCTACATCAGGGGGCCTCTGAGCCATCAGACAACTGGGAAAATGGGAGAAGAGGTGTCTGTAATCTAAGAAAGGCAGTCTTTATCACTAATGCTTGCGTCCAGTTATTGGGTGTTCTCATACATTATGTGACAAGGGTTACAACGGACATGAATTCTCCTAAAAGCAAAAGCAAGTGGCTGCTAATGTCCCTTAGGGTTAAAAACCTCAAAGTCGAGGGATCTCCTGTGTTCTTTTACTTATCTTCTCCTTAAAGAGCAAAGCTGAGGCCCTCTTCTCCTAACCAGCATCTCCATTCATGGCCTTCAGTCTACTCATGATTTGCAAAGAGAAAAAGAAAAGACAGTACCAAACCAAATCGAACAAACAAACGACAAACACACCAACCAACACCGCAGCCCCTGGGCTCTCTCTCTGGTCCCATAAACATTTATGACAAGTAACTTCAGAAAAAGAGCCACTATGGAGACCCAGCTCTACCTTGTGCTCCAGGCTGGAGTCTTTAAACATCAGTGAGAATGGCTTGATATGCTCTCTTCTCAATTTATCGCCACTCCGCAAGTCGATGGTATGTTCTATTCTCTTGTTAATTTCCTCAGGCCCAGACTGGACATGCAAAGCTTGTGCAAGATGGTTTGGAAGTAGATTTATTGAATTTCTTGTTAGGGCAGCCAGAGTCTAGGGGGAAAGCACATGCAAACACAATAAACCTGCTAGTCCCCTTTGGATTAAAAAGAAATGCAATGTTTTTAGATCAGGTTGCATTGCAAACAGTAATAGCACTCCATGCATGCAGTCGTATTCAGTGAAACCTACCGAAGTCGATCAGTTAGCCATTTGCTTCAGAGAAACACAAAATATCACATCAGGAGGGTCACTTGCCTTTCCTCTGGGTAGGTGCACTGAATTCCTTTGGTTCAGGTATTTAAAGAGTTGTTGGCTTGGAGATGTTACTCAAGACCCTTTCTCTAACCAGGCACATGGCTGGTATGAGAGAAAGAGAACCACCAGAAATAACATAAAGTAAAATAGCTGAAAAGTCCACAGAAATGATCATCTCTCACCGAGCAGAGTCCACACTTTCACGTGGTCTTTCCTTTAATGGCGGGGGAGAGACTTGGAGACCCAGGGCTTGCATTTTTTTTTTTTTTTCGCATTCCTTGTGGATGGAGAGCCAAACGTGCCAGGATCTCTTACTTAAACTCGAAGATTGTTAGATTTTTGCACTTCACAAATACGTTTTTTCCCCATAGATCTATATCTTGATATAGGTATATAATGATATATAGTGCTTCATTCCTTTTAGGCAAAAAATGCAAGCAGCTGCAGCCTCTCAACATTTCCCAGGGGTTAAACAGCATGAGGTGGGGAAAGGCGCGACCACCCTGGTTGGTCACATGGACGCAGCAAAAGCACTGGCTTGTGAAGATCCACCAGGTGTGACACGGAGGCCTCTGTCTCCCGCTGTTTCAGCTGCAGGTGACAACACCAATTGGCTAGATCAAGCCAAATGCAATGCTTGCTCACAGCTCCAATTAAAGACAACTACTTTGACAAAATAGTGGGAGTCAGAGCCGAAGGGATATGGGGACAGGGATGTCCATCTCCTCCTCCAGGAGATTTCCCTGGGGAGAGGTCCAGGATGAGGTGTATTTGTAGAGTCAGGAACTGAGAACTCCCTGCCTCTCTGTACACACTCACCGCATCTGCTTTTCTCTGCCAGCCTCCCAGCCCGGCCACACTGAGCCTAGGGGTCAGGTGATGGAGCCATCAGATGGCAGCCTGTGGGACCTGACAGAGCACCTGGGATGCTGTCTTGCCCAAACGCTTCATGTATCTCTGAGCCTCAGAGGCATGTGCTCAAGAGCCATCAGCTCATCTACAGTCAGGTCAGATCCTCTGACTCCAGAGCCAGAGTCAGGGGCTTTGAGCTCATGCAAAACTTCTAGCCCGTTCCATAAGGATTCTTCCTTTGGTACTGTTAGACTCTTCATTTTAACTTTCATGGAGATATTTAATGTAACCTAAATTCAAGGTCTCTAAGGAATTCCGTAGTAGGGCTTCATCACCAGTAGAATTTACTGAAACCCTTTCTCCAGCCCCAGGATAAAGGATGGAGTTGCATGTGCCAACATAAGAAAGTAAAGTACACGCTCATAGAACCCTGAAGCAGTTAATTTCAGCTCTGAATTACCAAGGAGGCTACTGCAGAGAAAAAGATAGATGTTAGGGGGAGGAATGGCAGGATGAGAAGTGAGGAGCAGGGAGAAGGAAGCAGGGACCAATATTCCAGAAAATTGAACAGCAGGAACCATGCAGGGCCAAAGGGCTTGAGCCCCTGGGACTAAATGCTGTTACAACAGAATCTCAGAAGGCAAAGGCATCTGCACTGTCGGCCACACGGTGCATCCTGCACTGGTTTCTTGGGCAGAAATTCTTCCCACACAGTTTGGAAAATGACAAGATTTCGTTCTCTATCTTGGAGGGGAGGGGGAAATGTTCACGTTGCTGTTGTCTGGGCATGCACTTTTATCCTCTGGCTTAGAGATGCCAAGATGCTCCCCCAGCAAGTGCTTGGAGCTGGGGTCCAACAGTTGGATGTGGAATCGGCTAAATATTGGCTTAGTACATTCATCATTAGGTATTTCTTTCTCTCCCTGTCATTTTTATTTTTCTCATGGTTTTCCTTCCTGGAATGAAATTGATCCTACCTACTCTACCAGTCCCTCATGCCTTCACTGGCTCTTGAACCTCTGGATTTCACAGAGAAGGGGAATTTCAAAAAATATCTTTGGGACAGATATATCTAAATTACAAAAACTGCCACCAGTGCCATGACAGGTCTCTGATGTGACCACCACTTCATAAAATAAAGGGCATTTTTTTTTTTCAGTGAGAATGCTGTACTCTCGAAACAAAGGATAGTCCTTTACACTGGATGCATTTAAATTAATGGATAACTCTGCTCATTTTTTCTTATGTCGATTGGGACTGGTGAAAATGTCATGAGAGATTGACTTTGGTCTATAAGCAGTCCTTCCGAAAACCAGCAATACACGTTGCTTCCTGGTTGCCTGTACCATTGGCCACTTCTGAAGGCAGAGACCAGTTGAGTCACCTGTCAGAGCTTTCCTACCCCCCACAAAATTCTACCAGCTTTGTGGCTACTTCAAATAAAAGTCTGGAAGCACCTCTCTCTTTTTCATCATTGCTATCAGGTCATAGTTAAGAGCTGGGAAGGAGCCCTTGTATCAACATGTCAATGATGCTGTGTTGGAGAATTCTTCTCTGGGCAATTATTTTTATTCTTTGCAGTTATATCCCTAGGTTTTTATTAAAGTTGTCAGTGTTCAGTGGACCCTTTCCTGATCATTCACTTTGTCAATGACATAGGACCATCATATCTGCTGTTTGACCAGCAATGTCTCTGGTACCCACCCCACAGCTTCAGGATGTATATGCTCAAGGGAAGACCAGCATCAACTCAAGAAGTCAAGCGAACTGGAATTAGGGAGGGAAATCATCTGCTTTCACTCACCCCCCATGCACCACTGCAAAGCACGGCTGGCTTTGGGGGTGACTGTGGTTTGAGATGAACTGCTATACCTCTCCTCCTCCATTAGTGATGACCACTAAGATTTGACCAAGTTGGATACCAAAAATCCATATGCTGATACTTCACAGGGATTCTTTTGTAAGTGGTACTGGGGAAATGGGTAATGGGTCTCATTTGCAGATTTAGAGTCATTATGGAACCAGTTGTTTTTAAATATGCCTTTTTCTCTCTTTGAGATGGACAGCTGCCGTGGGAGCAAGATTAAGATCATATTAAAAAATAGCATAACCTTTCAAATAGGATTCTAACTGCAATTGACCTCTTAAAAGTTGATATTATTCTTCTATGTAAACAACTTAAGCAGTTGGCTAGCAATAAGAAAACAAATGGATGAAATGGAAGGAAATGGGAAATGCCCGAGAATAATAGAAATATATACACACACACACACACACACATACACACACACGTACACATACATACACACACATACATAAAAAATTGAATACATGTATCTGAGTGTATAGCTCAAATACATATTATGCTTATATACAATCATAAGTGTATATATTCATTTATTTACCTTAGCTGCTATTTCCAGATATTTGGGAGGTCAGATTGGAGCAGCAATGTTGGGCAATATCAAAGGTTGCTGCTCAATGTCCACAATAGCCAAACTGTGGAAAAAGTCAAGATGTCCATCGACAGATGAATGGATAAAGAAGAGGTGGTATATATACACAATGGAATATTATGCAGCCATCAAAAGGAATGAGATCTTGCCATTTGCAACGACGTGGATGGAACTGGAGGGTGTTAGGCTGAGTGAAATAAGTCAGTCAGAGAAAGACATGTATCATATGACCTCACTGATATGAGGAATTCTTAATCTCAGGAAACAAATGGAGGGTTGCTGGAGTGGTGGGGGGTGGGAGGGATGGGGTGGCTGGGTGATAGACATTGGGGAGGGTATGTGCTATGGTGAGCGCTGTGAATTGTGCAAGACTATTGAATCACGGATCTGTACTTCTGAAACAAATAATGCAATATATGTTAAGAAAAAAAAAAGAAGATAGCAGGAGGGGAAGAATGAAGGGGAGTAAGTCGGAGGGGGAGACGAACCATGAGAGACGATGGACTCTGAAAAACAAACTGAGGGTTCTAGAGGGGAGGGGGGTGGGGGGATGGGTTAGCCCGGTGATGGGTATTAAAGAGGGCACGTTCTGCGTGGAGCACTGGGTGTTATGCACAAACAATGAATCATGGAACACTGCATCAAAAACTAAAGATGTCATGTATGGTGATTAATATAACAATAAAAAAATTAAAAAAAAAGGTTGCTGCTGAGCTGGCCTCTCGTATCTGAGTCTCTTCACATAAAAGCACAGGAGCCCTGAGATTTATCCTAACCAAGATCCACGCCCACCTGACGCATTTCAATGACCTCCTTACTCGTGGGCACTTAGGACAGATCAAAGCCCAGATGAGAACCCCAGAGCCCCTTCTCCCAAGTTTCTGAACATAGGGTCTGCCTGAGAATCTGGGGGTTCGGGTGAAAATCAGCATCACAGGTCCCAGTTATGCCTTTGTAAACGGCACCTGAATGGGGTGGAGCAAGCCATAAATCCTCTTAAACTCACCATCTGGTTTGGCCCGTGACTTTTCTTTGGGAATTGTCTTATACAACATACAGAGTGAAAATCCATTTTTCCTACTGTCCTCTCACTTCATGGATGGCCACGAACTTTGGTAGTCCTTCATCAGGTTGTGGCAGCAAATACATCCTTCCCAGTAAGATTTCCGGCTGAAGGTGTACTCTCCAGAAACACCCAGTTTTGTCGAGTCAGAAACACTGTAGTTCTTATGGATCGCATATTCCAATTGCAAAACACCCTCTAAAGCATCCCTGGAGATACTGCAAATCCGCTGACATAGTTGCAGTGCTGGCATCTGGGGAAGTCATCACTAATTCTCCTAGTTAAGTCCTTTCCAAAAAACTTGTTCGAAGAACACAGGGAATCAAGGGATGCTTCTTTACAAAATGGTTCTGTGGACCAATCAGTTTAGGAAATACGGATCCATTATGGTTCACTGCATCATAGCCACTCAGCACGTGTTTGTT